AACAATTTCCGGCACAATAATGATAATAATAAATTACTCTTCTCTTTAAAACCGCAAAATTCAAAATCTCAAAGTTTGGAATAAATATAATATACTTTTAGGGTTTTTTTTATGGTACAATACTTTTAGGCTTTTAAATGAATTTAAGCCTCCTCAAACTTTTTACCAGTGTATCGGTAGTCATACTGGTCTACCCACCCACACACAGTAATGAGGTATTACTGGTCGGAATGATAATATTGATGGATTACCGTACTAACAAATATAATAATATACATATTTATATATAAAAATGTATAATATCAAATAAAAAATAAATTACCATAATCATTAATTTTAACTTACCAATGAGAAAAAAAATAAAATATTCTAACTATCAATTTAAATTTAATGTTCTTAAATTAATAATTTTTTCATATATATATTTTTTTAATGACCAATATTTTGGACAGATATTTTCCGGTGTGACCCCGGTACAAACTGGTACAACCATAAATCCGGTATTCTGTGTGTTATTATACCGTACAAATGGTCGTTATCCAGAATTACCGGTCGGTACAGTACAATATTGAAAATACTGCTTTTTACTTGAATAATTTTGTGTTTGTATACCAATTATCTCAATTCATACTCAAATTTTAACTTAATTTTAACTAACTCCACTATCATCAGCATTATCGATATAATTAAATAATATCATCCAATCATTTTTACACGTCACATTAACTTTAATTTACTGTTAATCCACTCACATAATTTTAATTAATTATCACTTTAAATCACTTTTCTCCTACTTTTTACTTCAAATTAACTTTAATTATTTTATTTTAAATATTATTTTAATATAAAATCAAAATTTCACCAACAAATAATCATATAATATTAAAAAAAAATCATTTTGAGCCATTTCCTTGAAATACAAAAGCAGCCTTTCATTTTCTTTTTTCTTCAATTTTACCCAACACAGTAAAAGAACACTACCAACAAATAGTCCGACCATCTCAAATTCAAAAGCTCAGAAATAAATTCACAAAATATTGATTTTCTTGGTTGAACAAGGAAACAATTCAGGTGATGTCATGTTTATGGCTCAAGAATTGAGCTCCCATAACTGATAAGAAGACAATTTTCCTCAACAACCGTTGGTTTTTTTTAAGTTTTTCTTTTTTAGGTGTTACACTCTCGTTTTCTGCATGTAACGATCGGTGCATTTTTATCATTTTTTTCTTGTTGCGTCGTTGGTTAAAAGCGAAAAAAACCCACCAGTAATTTGAGGAAAGATTCGATTTTTTTTCCTTTTTTTTTTAATTATTTTTTTCGTATTTATTTTTGGGTTTTTGTATTTAAGTTTGATGGGGCCTCATTTCACTGTCTGGAAATCGCGAGAGTCACTTGAAACAAGAAAATTTCAGTTAAGCTGAGAAAATGGGTCCGATGAGAAGTTTGAATTTTTGGAGTGTTTTGTTGCGAATTCTGTTTGGGTTATGGTTAGTTTTTGTGGTGGTATGGCCTGTGAATGGATTAAGGCCTTTAATGCCGGGGTCGAGGTCTTTGGCTATGGAGGTTAGCTAGTGTGTGTGTGTGTGTGTGTGTGTGTGTGTGTGTGAGTGTTTGTGTGTGTGTGTGTGTGTGTGTTGTTTCTTAAGATTTTCTGTTGTTTGATTTCTTGGTTCTCTTTATTATGCCCCTGCTGTTTCTTGAATGAACTATATTCTGAGATGTCTAAATCCTCGATTTCTATGGTAATTGTGAGTCCCCAATTTGGCTGTTTGCTCTTCATATGATATGATTTTATTATATGTGAAGGAGCTTGAGTAGGAAAGTGTAGCATAGCATCTGGATCTAGTTAATTGCCTTTACTTGCTTAATTTAATATGAGATTCAGATTTTTATTCCCCCACTTTCTACCTTGTAGTGTTAAAAATTCAAGAACCGATAATCTGGATTGACCGTTATTTACGTATTTATCATTGGTAGCAATTGCAGGTCATGGTTCGTGATTCTGAAAGAATCTTGCAGTTGTTCTATGCATGCATTGCCATGATCTTTAAAAACCTATTTCATGTCATGACCAATGATTGATTATTCCGAAACTCGTGGCCGGTTATTAATTCCTGTTGCACGTCATGTCTTATTTTTAGGAGGCAACTCGCATGTTGTTTTTTGTCGTGAAATTTGTGCGTTGACACGATGCATGACGTGGTTTTTGACGCTAGCATACTTACTAATAATGTCTGTTCCTCGAGTTACCTTAAATTTCAAGCATCTCATCATTAGGAAAATAATTGTCGTATATCTCGAAAGTGGTATTTGTCGGAATCTGTACGTTGTCATTACGCCTGACGTGGTTTGTGACGCTAGCAGAGTTACTATAATGCCTGTTCTTTGACGTGTTCATTAATTTAATCACCGACAAAGTTCATAGCTTTAATATGTTTGTGTTACTATAGTTAAACAGATTCATTTCTTTTCATCTGATATTTAAATCTCTTCTTACTTGAAGTATGTACCACTAAATTGTTGGCTCAGAAAATTTGGCAACAAAATTGTTTCGGTATATTTATTTTATTTTTAATAATTAAAATATAACTTCTGTAAATCCTTGATTAAATGCCATAATGTTTATGTATTTATATTGAAGGCATAAACTTTCTTCTAGTTGAGAAATTTTAACCTTACGAGGAGTCTAGAACTTGGGTCCGCCTCCGTTAACATATTGGTTGCTACGTTTATATTATTCGAAGCTCATTTGATGCATTGTTTGCATGAATTTGGTGCCTGAACTCATTTGAGCTCGAGATGATCACATTTATAATTTTCGTTTTTATTGGACTGAAAAGTAGAGACTTGGTTTTGCATTTTATGAAAAGGGCCGAGGGAAAAGTTTAAGGAAATCAATGAGCAGCTGCTTTCAAATTTTAAGGCTTAATTGACTAATGAATCATTTTAAATATGGGAGCAAGTAAAAACTGTCTTTGATTCAACTGAAACTCTTGATTAAAAACATCCAAGAAAAGCCATGCATTAATGCCAACTCCATTCTTCTATTTCATCATAAGTCTTGTGCTTCATTAGTTCCAATGTTAGCCTTTTGTTTCTTGCAGTGGCTCCCTCTAGGCAAACAAGAGAATGAATTGGGTCCGTTTTCATCTTGGAATATAACAGGGACATATCGGGGTTAGTATATTGTCCTTGTCTGAAGTTATCTGCTAATTATTTATTTTAATAAATCATTGTATTAAGGGGAAAAAAAGCTGGGAATTTAATCAGTATGGTTTTCGATTTAGTTGGCCCTAATAAGCAAGGATGAATATTTGTATATGTTCTTAAACACTATTCTAATTATTTTTATTTCCTTTATATTTCCTTATGTATTTGCTTTATTCATTCGACATGATTGTAATTTATTATTCGATTAATTTCTTGTGTTCAGGAAGTTGGAAGTTCGTAGAATCCACAAATGCTTCATCCAAATTTCCATATTTTACGAATTCAAATGGGAACTCCGTACTGGAGTTGATTAGTATTCCCACACAAATAACTGGGGTGCACTATGTTCAGGTAGTCTTCTTTAACTCGATAAGGAGTTTTGTACTATTAAATAGAGTTATTATGCTGTTATTGTATACTTTACTGATATCACGAGCTTAAAAGGTAAAGAAAACTTTTTTTCTCTCCTTTTTTTTTTCCTCTTTCAAGTCACAGTCTCTTATTGCAATTATCATCTTCATGTTGCAATTCACCAGGGGATTATGATATTTCATGATGTGTTCGACAATGAGAAAGATGTTCGTGGTGCTCAAATCGGGCTAGAAGGTGTGTACTTATGGCCTTTTAGACAGTTGAGGCTGGTAGTTAACAGGTAAACTCCATTGTATTGCATGAGTTTATTATTTTTTTTTTTTACTAATTCTAGTTTCCAGTATGCGCTTGTTCTTCACGAGTTATAAAAATGTACATTTGATTTGATGATTGCTCGATTTCTCATAAGATAAGTTCAGTTTATGCTATGTTTCTGTGTTTCTTTGCAGTGGAAAAGTGGTCAATTTTGGACAGGAAGACGATTACTTATTAATTAACCCTTATCACTTGGTAATCAAAATTACTTCTTTCCCGAAATTTTTGTTTCTTTTGTGAGGATAACCAGTGAGAATGCTTTGTCCATACTGATAAATCCAATACTAAAATGTGGGTTGTCAATAGTATGGAAAATTCTATTTTCTTGAAAATAATTTATCAAATATGGTTTTGGACTTAAAATTCTCTAATATTGTTTCTGTGCCAATATTTTCCTCAAAATTAAAATTGTAAGTTCAATGCGCGTCGGTTTATTAAATGGATGCTGGTAGGGGTGAGCAAAACCGAGCCGAAACCGAAATCCGAACCGAACCGATGTATTCTGTGCAGTTCGGATTTTCAAGGGTTCGGTTTTTGGTGTGGTTAAATTTTTGAAAAAACGCACAAATTTCGGTGCGGTTCGGTTTTTGGTCTGATGGGTGCGGTTTTAACCGAACCGCACCATGCTCACCCCTAGATACTGGCAAGAAAAGTTAATTTGAAGATTATTTCAATCTATATAATATGATGTTTTGTTCTTTCTACAGATGGGAGTCTTCTTTTCCCAGTTGTTTCAAGAGACTTCCCTCTGGAATATGAAACGTCGTAATTTGCGCTTCTATTTTTCTTCATTATCTGTTATATAGTTCATTGAATTCCTCTAAGATTGCCAGGCTTTACTTTTTTTTATTCAAATTGTTTGTTCTATTATCTGTTATCCTATTGCAGCTTTCATTTATGAAAGGGAGAAGCATTGCAATTTTGAAATTGCAGCTCAGGTTTCTCTTCACTCCTCGGGAAAAGATGGCTTTCTGTTTTACAGTACGTATTCCTCGTAACTCGAGTACTTTCTCTAAATTGTTGTCTTAAAAAAAAATACAAATTTCGTAATATGTTTTACTTAACATTGCTTTTTCTTCTGCTTAGATGGAGATCAAGAGAAATATTATCTAGAAGGACTAATGGAGAGTCGTTCGGTGGATGATGACGTGGCCTGCTTTTCGCCTATGCATTTAAATGCTACTACAGTCGACACTGATGTCTACTATAATAAAGCAATTAACTACACTTTGATGGTTATCTTGGTATCCTTTGCCAATTATAACGTTTGAATGTGAAGAATGGTTCTTGTTGAATTTTGCTTTTCTGTCTGGATTCTTTAACCTTTTCGTGTGGCAGATCTCTTCCCTCGAAATTCTAATGTTAAACCGACTAACGGAACACAGTGACACCGAAACTGTAAGATTATCTATGAATAAATTCAGTTTTTTCTTTGTTAATAAAAAAAATCTGTTTGTTACACCGAAACTGTAAGATTATCTATGAATAAATTCAGTTTTTTTTTAATAAAAAAAATCTGTTTGTTACTAATTGTAGTTATTCAATGTATTTTTACTACTGATCTTTACTTCATGAATTTTTCCTCCAGGGGACTGCCAAAGTTTCGCTTTTGATGATTGGCCATCAAGCTATAATGGATACTTATCTATGTATTCTGCATCTTACAGCTGGAAGTTTAGTTGGTATGTTTACTTCGGGAGTCCGTTTATTTTCACCAACTTTCATCTTATTCATTGGCTTTTTCCTTATCGTAAGCTCTTAAAAACCTTTATACCTTCCTTTAAAATCCAAAAGTTGAATTTTTTTCGTATCTACATAAAGAATGTTTAGTAGGGGTGAGCATGGGTCGGTAATGGATCGGAGATTGACAAATCTCCGGAACCGTACCGAAGGTCGGAGATTACTAAAATTCAATCTACGGAACCGTACCAAAAAATCGGTTCGGTTCAGTTCTCGAGACTATCGGAACGGCTCGGTTCGGTTTGGTTCGAATATTCGGAGATTTCTAATTATTTTTTAAATATTTTAGAATGGCCACCTAGTTGTATTTTAATTTTTGTATTCTTTTCATTCCAACATTCATCAATATTTTATCATACTAAAGATTTTATTTTTTAATTTTTTTATTTTTTTCAATCCAACATTCATCAATATTTTATCATACTAAAGATTTTATTTTTAAATCAACTGGAGTTTAGTTCATTTCTCAATACAAGCACAAAATATGGAAGTACTCACTAGAAAATTATTGTTGAGCACTCTTCTCTTCTTTAAAAAAAATAAATAAATTCTTGTACAAATCTATATGAAATAAAACCTAATGCTTGTTGCCCTTGTTACAGATTCCCTGTTTAATGCTTTTGCTAGTGCCACATTTTTCAAGTTTGTGGTCTTCTCAATATATGAGATGCATTTGCTTCTTGCAATATGGAAGGCAAATAGACCTCCGAATGAAGAGAATTGGGACACAACGAGGCGCGAGCTTTCAGCCCTTTACAGTCGTTTTTGTAAGTATTGTTATATCTTATACAAAATTTCATGTTAGTCTCAATATTTTTGTAACCGGCTGAATGTCTGATTTTTGTTTTTTCCCCACAAACCTAGATGCTATCCTTTTAGGTGGCATTATCATAATGTACGAGTTTCATAAGTTCTTCCGCTTTATTCTCCTCCTTCTCCACTCGTTTTGGATCCCGCAAATATGCATTAATGTGGTTCGTAACTCGAGGAAAGCTTTGCACCCTTATTATATCCTTGGGATAACGATCACCCGTGCTGCCATCCCGCTGTATGTGTTTGGGTGCCCACATAATTTCATGCGGATCGAGCTCGATCGTAATTGGTGCATTTGTTTGGCTCTTTTCATGGGACTCCAAGTCTTTATTCTTCTACTTCAGCACTATTTCGGAGCTCGGTGTTTCATTCCTCGTCGGGTTTGTTTTTACTCGTTAATTTTGCTACTCGAAAGAATTTTTTTTTTTCCTCTAGCATGTCTCGATTATTATTATTTTTTTTTTTTGGCAGTTTTTGTCATATAAATACAGCTATT